AAGTCAAGGGTAAGGAAAGGATATGATAGAATTTCAGTAAGTTAAAAATAAGCACAGTTTACTTGTCCAGGCTAGCAAAGGCCACAATAGAATGTGTTTATTTTTCCATGGAAACCAAGTCATCTGTGTAAGGTAGGAAAACTTCTCCTTTCTTCTCTTCTAGGTTTTTTGGATGGTCTAATAATTAAATTGACATAAAATGGGTTAATAAGAGAAAAACAAATTTAATTTGTTCCTAAGGGAGCTCATAGAATTGTGGAACTTGAAGAGGTGTTCAAAGCAGGAACTTTTACATATTTTTGACAAAATAACAACAACAACAAATGTGAAGAGTTGACCAGAGAAAGAAGTTTGGGCTTGGGCAGTAAATTAGTGCAGAAGTAACAAGGCTTGTTTATATGGCCTTTTCAGCTCTCCCTGGTGATAAGGGTATTCCTCTACCTTCCAGGGCAGGGAGGGTACCTTTCACATGGAAGGTTTATTTCCTGCATTTAGGGGCACAAAGGAGGGTCAGCATGTCCTTCTGGCATTGGCTGTCTCTTCAGTAAGTTTAATTCAAAATAATCAATGTGCTAACATGGCATATTTGGGTGGCCTGTCTCAAATCCATCACCTGCATGTCCATACTTTACCTTTTCATCTGGGCCCAAGCTGAGTTCATCAATGACTTTACAAATTCAAGATAAAATCAGCTATGCCAGTAAAACAACAACAATAAAAGCTAACCAGACAGTTAAAATCATCAAGTAGATGATGATTTATGGCATACTATTGCAGAGGAGGAAAAATAATTTTCCCTTTACCCTTCTAGATTTTTGGCTGAGACACCCCCCATAATAAAATATAGATTAACAGGAGAAAAAGCAATCAGAAAAAGCAAATATCCTGTATACATGGAAGATACCAAGGAAAACTGAGTCACTCCTCGAAATGGCTCAAGCCACCACCTTTTAAATATTATCTTCAACCAAAATCAAAAGATGTTGGTGGGGCAGGGGGAACCTGTTGTGGAAGGCTAGCAGAGGAATCACAGTAAGTAAGGGTAAGCCTGGTGTGTAGATTTAGGTCATTGCCTTCTCCACTAATAAGAGTTGCTAGAGATTTAGTCACCTTCTTCTTTCTGGTATAGTTGGAAGACAGCCTCACAAATGGAGACTTTTCCTTAAAAATATTACTTTATCCTACTAAGGGTTATCTTCTACTGGTTATCTCCTCTGTCTACTTTTTCTTAAAAATAACCAACTCAAGGTAATCCTAAAGCCAAAGAGACATATTTTCGGGTGACAAATTCTGCTCCTTTTCACGATATAAAGTAATTATTAATATATTAACCAAATTCACTGCAGTAATTGGTGGATTTCACATTATATTTATTTAACCTCTCCTTTAAGTGCTGTGACAGACATGCAGTCATGATACTCAGAGTCCCCTTCAAGAAAGCTCCCACTTCCCAGATCTGGGGAGAAGAATTTAGTTGACAGCCTCCAGCTGGTAGCTTTTCTGGGTCAGCCTTTGTTTTCAAGATAAGGTCACATTATTCTTGGGCTGGACTCTGGTCAGTGACTAAGAGAGGTTTTGGCAACCTATGGCATGCTGTTCTGGAGGCATCCTCTTGGCTAACAACTGAGCAAGGTGGTGGTGTTACCCCAAAAGGGGAAGGAAAAAGACCCCCAGTTCTTGTCATATCCAAAAGATAAGAATTTATGAGAGACAAAGCAGTGGGTAGCAAAAGATTTGAAACAATTTATTAGCAGAGCAAAAGTACACCTCTAAGAAGAGGAGGTGGGCTGATCCAAGGGCAGACGGCTGTGGTCTTTGTTTAGTCCCCTGTCTTATGCCCTCGCTTAGAGGTGTTCTCTTGATTAATTGACAGCTCTTGCCCCTGGAGTGCTTAATCATATTTGCCCCCTTTCCCCATGGCCTTACTTACAGTGCACAAAGAAAAACCCATGACAGGGACCTAAACCACAATGCTAATTATATTACAATGGGCATTGAGTCATGTCTACTTAGGTCCTGTTGCTGCCATGCAGTTGTGGATGTTTGGCTCTGACTGGTTTCTTTCTGGCATTCATTTAGAAGAAGTAATGCCTCCTTATGCTGAAGGTGGGCATACTGTCATCTTATCTGCCCAGTGCCCCCAATTATCTAACCACCTAACAGTGGTACAAGGTCCTTGACATTTTCTCCTAGTGCAATACTCTTCTGTCAGACAGTGTGCATTCCAGAGCTCCCGATGTGAAACAGCACAACCATATTGGGAGCTCCCTGATACAAATCCTTTCCATGTTCCCCATTTTTTGTTAGTAGGGCATAGGCTTCTTTCAGCCTCCTTGACCTTTCCTGAGTTTCAAAAGGAAGATTCAAATTTTTGCTAGTCAGAAAAGGGAGGGAATGCAGAACAAGGGAGGAACAGTCAAGAAACAATAGCACAGCTTTGGGGCAGGGTCCTGGTTCCTCCTCAAGGAATATACACAACAATCAATAACTTTGAGCTCTTTTGCAGGAACTTAAGGCCCCTACCCTGGTGGAGGATGGTAATGAGGCTGAGCACAAGATTCCTGGAGCACCGCCCTGTTACCTCCCCATTAGCCAATCCGAAGAAAATCCCACCCTGATGCCTTCAACCCAAATTTTGCCTATAAAACTTTTCCCCCAAAATTTTCAGGGAATTTGAGTTTTGGAAGTGTGGGACACATATCTTCCTTCTTTATCCCTGCAATAAACCTTTCTCTCCTCTAAACTCTGATGTATCTGTTTGTTTAGCCTCATTGTGCATCGGGCACACAAAATTTTGTTCAGTAACACGTGGACAGGAAAAGATTTGGTGGATCTGCTTTGCTCTCTGACATTTTCCTGCCCCATCCTGATATCTCTCATTTTCTTTCAATCATGTTATTCTCTAGTGACAGTAAAATGCAATAATTTAAAAAATTCATACTAGAAATGATTGCAAATTCTTATCAGAATAAAGGCTGAGATTTTTTTAAGTTAAAATGTCACATTCTCTGAAATCTCTGACCTCTTCAGGCATGCTTACTGAGTTCCACACACTGTTCATTCTAAATTACACTGTGTGTCACAGTGTAACTGTAGTTATTTGATGTGATTAACCTCTCTAAATACACCAAATAAAATAGTGTTTATTTTTCTCACTTATATCTCTGTTGGATTTACTAGTTGTCTCTGTATACAATATACATTTAGAAAGGAGCATTATACCTCAGGGTGAAGGAGGATTGATAAAATTGCCACATTTAGGCCAACAAATGGCTTATTCTTATGCTTGCTTTTAAAATGGTCAACTAATCTGGCTGACCGGTTGCTAATCACAGCTTCAGGCCCATAGTTAAAATGAAAGCTATTAATTTTACTTTTTCTGCTTTATTCCAGTAATCAAAAGCAATAATCATACTTGGTTTCTGATTTGTTCTCCAATGAAGTCACAGAACTTTAACCTTACAAAGTAGGCTAAATATAAAGAAGACCACACCTTGGGCACTTATGAGATAAAGAGATCAAAAAACTGACAACCACTAGCTTCTATAGAATTGGATGCCATTCTAAGTCTTGTAAATCTGTTGATTATTTATTGTTTCAGCTATGGCTATATAATCCCCCTACCCAACCACCAAGGGGGGTTCACAGTTTTGAAGGAACTAACCTGCTGTGAGTCCTCCTTGCCTGGCAAAGTAATTCAGCTGTCTCTTTTCTTCTAAATTCCAAGACCCTGTCTCTGAGTGTCAGTTTGGCTCCTCAGGGATGGGGTCCAATCTTTCAGCAACAAGGGGAACTTTGCCATTTTAGAATAGTAGATTGTAAGAAGTTGGGTGTTAAAAATAGAGAAAATGCCTGAGATTTGTAATCAGACTCTCTCTGCTGGATGATCCATCCTTTGCTTTATTCCCAGAAAGAGACGCTAATAACTGAAATGTATACAGATTTTATGCTCAAATCCTAGCATAGAAATTTACATAAATATATTATATTCAGTGATACTTACTACCTCTGTAGAGTGTTTAATTTAGAAATCTTTCTTGAACTCTACATTTCAACACTCTTTGCCTAAAAAAAAGGATAAACATGCAAAGGGGGAACACCTTAGAATAAAATAGAATTCTGAGAAATTATGCAAAGGAACAGCACCCACATTTTTATAGAAAATACCTAGTAGACATACAAATAATGTAAGAAATGGTAATCAATAAATCAGTCTCTTTTGGTTGATTTGGTTTCTGAAAGTCTGTAATAAGATTGATAGCTTCCTTTGGCAATTATTTTGGCTATTGTAATATGTAACATATATGGAAATAACTTTTATAAATAAATGAGGTAAATTTATTACATAACCCTAAATCTAAGATGTAAATAATAAAAACAAAAATGTGTACCCATTTTTTGGGAGGGTATTTTGATTTTTAAATCATCCTTAAAATACAATAGCTAACGAGATAACTAGCTTAAGTCCATGTTGTAAAAATTAAAAGTTTTGAAATTCAAGTATATTCATGAAGGATAAATATGTGTCATTTATTGGGAGGCAATAAGAATGAAATAAAACAAAAACTCTAAATTCAAACCTGTATATGTTTAGTGTGGGGGTGGGGAAATTTCCCCTCTTTTCAATCTTAGTTCTTTTGGCTGGCAGCTAAGATGACAGAAGGCAGATTGCCAGGAGAAAAATCAAAGTTTAATACTATGTATACATTGGAAGAGCCCCAGGAAAACAGAGTAACTCACTCAAAAGCCTGAAGACCTTCATCTTAAATGCCATCTTCAGCTATAGGCAAAAGAGGATGTTGTGGGTAGTAATTTGTGATTTCAAAGGGGAGGAAAGCAATCCATATGAAGAAGGAAAAGTAAATGTTTGGTAAATAAATGTTTGGTGGTCCTGGCAGAGACAATGGGTCTCCGAATGGTCTCTGATCTCTAAGAATTTCCCACATCACAACTAACACATGTTCTTTGGAGCTATCTCTGGTAATAGATCTATTCCTGTAACAAGCCCTCTATCTACATAGTTCAGGCATGGGATAGCTTTCCATTTCTTTAAATCATCTTTAATTTCCTTAATCAATGTTTCATAGTTCTCTGCATACAAGTATTTCACCTCCTTGGTCAGGTTTATTCCTAAGTACTTTATTTTATTTTTTGATGTAATTTTAAAAGGGATTTTTTTAAACTTTCCTTTTCTGATATTTAATTGTTAGGGTAAAGAAATGCAACAGATTTCTGTATGTTAATCTTGTACCCTGCTACCTTGCTAAATTCTCTTATCAGTCCTAGTAGTTTCTGTATGGAAATATATCCCATGCTTTTGGATTGGAAGAATTAATACTGTTAAAACAGCCATACTACCCAAAGCAATCTACAGATTTAATTCAATCCCTATCAAATTACACAGGGCAATTTTCACAGAATGAGACCAAAGAATTCTAAAATATATATGGGCTATCCCCCTCCCCCCCAAAAAAACACATCAAAAACAGAATTGCCAAAACAATACTGCAGAAAGAAAAATGAAGCTGGAAGAATAACGCTCCCAGACTTCAGACAACACCACAGAGCTACAGTCATCAAAATAGTGTGATGTTGGCACAAAAACAGACATATGGATCAATGTACCAAAATAGAGAGCCCAGAAATAAACCCACATACTTACAGTCAATTAATCTTTGATAAAGGAGGAAAGAATATACAACAGAGAAAAGACAGTCTTTTCAGCGAGTGGTATTAAGAAAACTGGACAACTGCATGTAAATCAGTAAAACTAGAACACTTCTTCACACCATAAACAAAAATAAAATCAGAATGGCTTAAATACTTAAACAGAAGACACTAAAGTCCTCCTAGAAGAAAACATGAATAAAACATTCTCTGCCATATATCTTAGCAGTGTTCTCTTAGGGATATCTACCCAGGCAATGGAAATAAATGCAAAACTAAACAAATGGCCTAGTTAAACTTATAAGCTTTTGCACAACAAAGGAAACAATAGACCAAACAAAAAGACAAACTACTGAATGGGAGAAAATATTTTCAAATGATATAACATACAAAGGCTTAATTTCCAGAATATATAAATAGCTCATACAACTCAACAATGAAAAAAAAAAAAAAACAATCCAAAAATGAGCAGAAGATCTAAACAAACATTTCTCCAGTGAAGACATACAAATGGCCAATAGGAACATGAGCAAATGCTTAATACTGTTAATCATCAGAGAAATGTAAATAAAACTACAATAAGATATCACCTCACACCAGGCAGAATGGTCATCAATAAAAAGCCCACAAATGATAAATGCTGGAGAGGGTGTGGAGAAAAGGGAACCCTCCTTCACTGCTGGCCGGAATGCAGTTTGGTGCAGCCATTATGGGAAACAGTACAGAGATTCCTTAAAAAAGTGAAAATAAATGTACCCTATGATCCAGCAATCCCACTCCTAGGCATAAATTCAAAGGGAACACTAATATGAAAAGATATATGCACCCCAGTGTTTATAGCAGCACCATTTATAACAACCAAGACATGGAAGCAACCTAATGTCCATCGACAGATGACTGGATAAATTAAAGCTGAAATATACATACAATGGAATGCTACTCAGCCATATAAAAGAATAAAATGATGCCATTTGCAACAACATGGATGAAGCTGGAGATTGTCATATTAATGAAGCCAGCAAGAGAAAGAAAAGTATCATATGATATTACTTTAATGTGGAATCTAAAAATTGACATGAATGAACTTTTTTACAAAACAAAAACAGAATCTCAGACATAGAAAACAAACTTATGGTTACTATAGGGGGAAGGTGAAGGGATAAATTCAGAGTCTGAGGTTTGCAGATACAAAGTACTACAACTAAAATAGATAAACAACAAGGTCCTACTGTATAGCATAGGGAACTATATTCAGTATCCTATAATAGTGTATAATAAAAAAGAATATTAAAAGAAATGTATATATATATACATTTATATGTATATAGGTATATATTTATATATAACTGAATCACTATACTGTACATCAGAAATTAACACAGCATTGTAATCTGACTATAATTCAATTAAAAAAAGAAAGAGAAAACAATTAAATTCTTCAGGCAATTAGGAGGAAATTCAGTTTCTTCCTTAATCTTTTCAGCCTTGATTGTTTTCAGCTTTAAATAATCTGCATGTCAAAGAGACATTTTGTGGTGGTAAATTTTGCTTCCCTATATTTGGAAGAACAAGAGAATTATAAATAGGATGCAATATGATGCAAACAAAATCATTAATAATTTTTCCTATCTGAGCTATTATCTTATCATTTTGTCTTGATAGTTGATTAATACAGCATGCTACAAGTGTAAGAAGGGTGGCAAGAATAATGAGTTGAATTTTGCCATCAGGGAGTCTAGCCAAGAAACCACCTATTCATGACATGTTTCCAAGTTCAGAATTGAATGGACAAAAGTGGGCTGAATCAAGATCAAATGAGCATAAATACTGGCTGAATGTGTAGACTGAAATCATATAGCATAGCTGAGTGGAGTCAGAGCTTAAGGTCAGGAGCGAGGCTAATAAGGAAAGGAGATGCACCTATCCAGAGTAGTGAAATTGAAACAGGTGAATGAGAACTCTGAGTAGCAATCTAAGTTTGAGAAACAGATCATTTGAAATGGGCTGAAGTTGAAGAGAGCATCTATAAGTGGAGCAAATGGAATCCTGTAGTATAAGGAGTATATTCCTATGGTTCTTTTGATCCCACATTTCCATCCTTAGTTTTAACATTTACAGAACATAATAACTTCAAAGAAATGCCTAATATGTAAAGAGAATTATGCATATTATTAATTACATTTATCAAATATCCATGTTTCATTTAGAATAAGCGTAATCAGTAAATGTTAACTTTTTTTTGCATTTATTTGAAGGTAAAAAAGTGAGATACATAGGAAAACCCTTATTGACTTGACTCAGTTATGTTTGAGTTAAGCGCCATCTGGAATTCTTGATTCAAAACTAGGGTCTCAGTTACTCTAGAACAATGTTGTCTTCGTCTTGTCAGAAAGTGACTTCATGTGTATATATATATATATATGTATATATATAAATAACATATATATAAATAAAATATATATAATATATACAAATAAAATATATAAAAATAAACAAGGACCTACTGTATAACACAGGGAACTATGTTCAAATTCTTATCCTAATATATAATGAAAAATAATCTGAAAAAAAAATATGTATATGTATAACTGAATTGCTTTGCTGTACTAACATTGTAAATCAATTATACTTCAATAAATTATTTTTTTAATATGACGGTGACTTCATCAAAATTCTCTGGGAGTATAATACTTTAATTTTGATGAGACATATACCTGGAATTTGACTGTTTAAAGGCTTCCTTTTAAGGTTATTTTCTTAAACCTACTCAGATGTAGCTTATAATGAAACAAAAACAAACAAAATGAAACAAAACAAAACCTAGACATATGTGTGCTTAAAAAAATAACACTACTAAATTTATATCAGCCTTCTGTTCAGAAATAGTATTTTTAAACTTCAATATAGGGTTATCTGTGCTCTCTCTCTCTCTTTCTGAAGCATTTTGATTGATTAATTAAAATGCTGAGCAGGAGAGTTTGAGCCAGGGGAGCTTGAGGAAAATTCTAACTCTGTCATTCTTTTCTTTATGACTTTGGACAAATTGTCTTTTTTTTTTTCTTTT